TATCATATTTTCATGTAACGCCTCTTCTCGATTATTAGCTAATAAACAGTCTTTTCTGTCTTCCTGTCTCTGTTCCTCTCTGTCTGCCTGTCTGTCTCTCTGTCTGTCTGTCTCTGCTCCCTCTTCTCCCTTCCCTTCTTTTCTTCTCTCTTGTCTTTACCCACCTGATGGCAACAGGCAGATGCCTTAGACTTTCAGTCTTGTTTTTCTCTTTTATTTCTCTTCCTTGTTCAGTGATTTTGATTTTCTTTTTTTGGTACTGGGAATTGAACTCACGACCTCACGCTTGCCAGGCAGGCACTTATGCTGCTGAGCTAAATCCCCAGCCCCCAATTTTCTTATCTTCAGGTTTTCCAGCTCTTTCTTTTGTCTGTCATACTCCCTTTGAATCCCTCTAGTGAAATTTTCACTTACTGTCCTGTCCAGCTCTACAATTTTCTTTTGTTTTCCATATTAACTTTCTACTTTGTTCATACATAATTTTCTTTCTTTTTTAAATTTTTAAACATTGTCCACAATGTTTAAAATGCCTTGACTTTGACTTGACAATGCCTTGACTTTGTCCACAGCTTCCTCTAGATCTCCTAGGTAGTGCAGGTTTTTGTTTGTTTTTTGAGGCAGGGTCTCGCTGGGCAGTTCAGGCTGGCCTTGAGCTCACTTTGTAGTCTCATCTGGTCTCGAACTTGCAACAATCCTGTCTTAGCCTCCCAAATGCTGGGATTACAGATGTGTGCCACAACACCTGGCTCTTAATTTAGTATTTTTTTAAAAATCCATTTTATTTCAAAGAGAGACAGAAAAAATCGATTGCCTCCCTCTCATCTTTTTTTAATTCCCTGGAGGCCTCATCAACCAGCTAACTGGCAACAGCAGCAGCCACGTGGGTAACCAGCGACCAGGATGCACGTCCCCAGTACGGAGGGGGACAGAGGATGCGCGCACCCCGGCCCTTGTGAGCTTGGGCGCTACCAGCTGAGATGAAACTGGCCCCGGGAGCGCAGGACCAGCGCCCAGGCTGCCGTGGCTTGCGTGCACCCCCGAACTCATGCTGGCGCTGAATTGCTACCCTAACAGTCTGAGGGCTGGGACACTTCAGGGAGGACACAACCACGCGGCCAGAGTAGGAGTCCGCGCCAGCGCGCAGAAGCCTGTTCGGTGTACTGCGTTCGTATTATTCATAATATGAATATGGAGTTCATTCACTTTTAGTTCTTCTTTTCTCATTCACATCTATATACTTTTCTCTCTAAAACTTGCTTTATGAACACCCCAGCAGCTGGGCTCGGGATTTAGCTCAGCAGTATAAGGGCCTGCCTGGCAAGTGTGAGGTTGTGAGTTCGATCCCTGGTACCAAAAAAAAAAAACTCAAAAGTTTTGATATGTGAAATTTTTATCACTTAGTTTTATATTTTTCTTCTTGATTTCTCTGATCTGTACATTATCCATGGGTGCATATGTATTTTCCAAACTTTTTATTGATTATTTCATTGACTCCTTTTCTGTGGTCAGAGAAGCTGATACCTAGTGTAGTTAATGACTTTCTTTCTTTTTTTGGCCTTTTTTGAGAGAGACTGTGCATTCAAGCAGGCCTTGAGCTCATTTTGTAGCCCAGGCTACTCTCAAATTTGTAACAATCTTCCTGCCTCAGCCTCCCCAGTGCTGGGATCGCAGACGTGCACCAGCATGCCAAGGCCCTGTGTGTTTTCTGAGCATTGTACAGTTTTAGGTCTCACATTTCTGTTTTTGGCACATGGCAGGTTAGGGTGTGGGGACAGAGTTCATCCTCCCAGAACCACCTTCCCATGCCCACCTGGCCATCTGCTGACCCATGCTGTGCATGTGGGGTCTGGGCAGTGCCTACCCGTTAGCTCAGCGCCAGAGCTGCCAGTTGAGTGTGAAGCCAGGCATGGTGAGGCTTTCAGCCCTGCTTTATGTTTCCAAGGAGCTTTGGCTGATCCCAGTCCCCTGAGTTACCACGCGAGTCTAGGGGCACTTTGGCAATGTACGCAAAGAAACCAAGGAGGATTTGGGGAAGGCTTGCACTGAACATGTGGCTCAGCTTAGGGAGTGCTGTTGTCTTCTCAAGTCTTCCAAGTCAGATGCAGTAGCATAGGCTGGTAACCTAGCCACTCAGGAGGCTGAGGCAGGAGGATTGCAAAGTCAAAGCCACACTGGGCAATTTAGTGAGACTCTGTTTCAAAATGAAGACCTGGGGATATAGCTCAGTGCTCCCTGGGCTCAATCTCCACGACTGTAATAATGAAAAAAACATGTTGTTGTGTAGAAACAGAGGTTCATTGTATATTCTAGGCTGAACTCATGATCTTCCTGCCTCGGCCTCCCCAGCGCTAAGATACAGGTGTAGGCCACTGCACCCAGCATGAAGAAAAGAGGTAAAGCGTACATGCTCACAGGAGCAGCGTCTTGGAAGCTGGTTTCTGTTCTGAGCAATTTCGGGCCATGTTGCTGTTGGTGTGTTCTGCGTCCATTTGTCTGTCTCCGTCAGGACTGGGGAGTGGGCCGCTAAGCTGGTTCCTGCCGATTCCCGGCCAGGTGCACTGCACACCCTGAGTCAGCCGCGCTGCCCTTTGTCCTAAAGGAGGCTCTGAGTCTGCCGCTCCCCGGGGAGGCATTGAGGTGGGACTGGGGATGACTCAGAGGGCTGCCCCAACAGCTCATCTCTGAGGTCATTCGTGATAGAATCGTGTTCTGACAGCCTCCTCGGCTCCCAGCCACCCCAGGAGGTCAGGGTGCTGTGCTCGGGCTGGCCTGGCCCTGGGCCTGGCATCATGCTGACCACCAGGAAAAGGCTCAGCGTCACTCTGCTCAGAGGATGAGGAAACAGGAGGGGCTTGGACGGTGACCCAGGGCCAGTTGGTGCCCAAGCTGGGGGGACCTCATCTCCGATGTGGGTTCCCATCAGCATCTTGCACAGCCCCCAGTGAGGCAGGAAATGGGTCAGGCTGTGTCACATGCACTGAGTTGGAGGTTGCAGCAAATCTATGTCAAGGGTGCAGCTCGTGGTAGAGCACTCGCCCAACTCATCCAAGACCTGTGTTCCATTCCTCCCACCTCCCAAACAAGACAGCATGTTAAACGTACCACCAGCAAGTGAAGTGCGGCTTGCCTTTGGTTTCTTTTGTTTTCTATTTTTTAGTTTTTTGGCTCTGGGGATCGAACTCATGACCTCGCACTTGCCAGGCAGGCACTTATGTTACTGAGCTACAGCTCCAGCCCCTGTTTTACATTTTTGAGACAGGGTCTCTCTATGAAGTCCAGGCTATTGCTGAACTCACTACGTAGTCCAGACTAGCCTCAAATTTGTGGTGATCCTCCTGCCTCAGCCTCTTGAGTGCTTGGATTACAGGTGTGCACGCCCTCCGCTCTTCTCTAGCATGACAGTGTCCATCCGAACTCCTGCGAAGTCCAGTCACCTGGTTCACGTGGTCAGTTTAGGCTGGCGGGCGTGGCAGGGTAGGCAGCCCCTTGCGTGTTACACGCAAGATAATGAATCACAACCCTGGGGGTTTCAGATCTGACCCTGCAGCTGTGAGTATTCTATGCAGAGAGCTGGCAGATGTGATTGTTGATGATCTTAGGAGATTGGGACATGCAGGTTCCGCAGGCTGTCAAGTTCTCCTTGTTAGAGAAAGGCAGCTGGAGATCAGACAGATACAGGACAGGAAATGATGGTCCACACCAAGCAGGGCCAGCAGCTACCGAGCAGAGCATCGAGGGGCAAAGGTTCCGTTCTCTCCTGCCCCAGAGGAGTGTGGCCTGCACACATTCCTGTTGCTCTGAGTCTAGAGCTGTGGTTGGTATCACAAGCCCAGGCCTGCAGGTGCCGTCTGTACTGCTTCACCCAGGCATGGCTGGGCCTCTGCCTTCTCCGCTTTGTTTGCCCAGCTTTGGAGCTGAGCCACACCCCTGTAGGCTCAGACATTTTGAGGTCAGTCAGTCAGTCAACACTCATCTGCACTGTGATACCCTGAAGTGCCTGTCCCCAGAGTCCTGCTGGATCCCAGGGAGTGGACTCAGGGTCCCCAGCCCTTTGCAGACCTGGGCAGCCTCTGCCTGGCTCAGCAAGCTGCCTTGTCTGTGCAGCAGGGGCTCCCTCTTTCAGGAAGACAGGAGGCCAGGCGGGCTGGCCCACATCAGATCTTCGGACAATCGGGAGACTGGCTGGGATGCCTGGCACTGCGCGCTGTCTGGGAGTCTGAGCCTGAGCTCAGCAGAGGAGGAAGAGTGACTAAAGCAGTGGCAGGAGATGTAGGCTGAAGAGACCGCAGTCTGCAGGGGAGGAAGAGGCCTGGGGGTGGGAGCAGCTGAGGCTCCGGGAGGATTCTGGGAATCAGGAAGGGCAGAGGCCAGGCACCCCTGCAGTGCACCTCCCTTGAGGGCCAGGAAGGATGGGCACACCTCATAGTGGGTACCTGGGCACTGCCCAGTGTGCCCGTGTCCCGCTCTGTCCTCTGGGCAGAAGGGGCTCAAATGCAGGACATACCCTGCCACCACCCCATGGGGCTCTGGCCCAGAAGGGAAGCAATCCAGCCAGGTGCCCTGTCTGCCGGCACCCATGCCACCGGCGAGGCTTGGCACAGTGGGCCTTGCCCTGGATGGGACTCTCAATAACTGGTCGTGCAGAATTCAGGTGTCCACCTCAAGGGAGCCCAAGACACTGTGCCCCCAGAGCCCATAATGTGTCACGAGGCCACTGTGACGGGAGCAGCAAGGAACTAGTGCGGCACTGGACTGGCTCTGGGGGGGTGGCAATGCTGGGAAACTGGGGCCACGTGCAGGAAATGAAAGCAGACCCTCACTGCCCCTCTGTAGCAATCAGTTCAGAAGCTGCTTGAAGTGGGCTTAAACACAGCTCCGACACTGCGGGGCCACCAGTGTCACATAGGCACAGAGCTCCAGATGCCAGTCTGTGCGGTGAGCTCTTGGATACGACCCTGAAAACAGAGCAACAGAAGCACAGACAGACACAGGAGACGGCATCAAAGTGAAGAGCACAGCATAACAAAGGAAAGACAGTGAAGGGGACCCTCGGATCAGGAGAAATGCTTGTAAATCAAACACAGATATGGGGCTGATATCCAAACTACATAGGGAACTCAGACAACTCAACAGCAACAAAACGACGATTTAAAAACAGGCAACTTGGTACTCCAAAAAAGGAAAAAACCAGTGGTGCATGACTGTAGTCCCAGCAGTTGGAGGCTGAGGCAGGAGGATTGCTGCAAGTTTGAGGCCAGCCTGGGCTATGCAGTGAGCTCAAGGCTAGCGTGAACTACGTAGTGAGACCCTGTCTCAAAAAATAAAATAAAATAAAACAAAAACAGGCAAAAGAGGGCTGGACTTGGTAGTACATGCCTGTAATCCCAGCACTCAGGAGGCTGAGGCAGGAGAAAACTGTGAGTTCAAGGCCAGCCTGGGCTACACAGTGAGCTCAAGGCCACAAAAAAGCTAAAATTTGGGCTGAGGTTAGAGTTTAGAGATAGTGTGCTTTCCTAGCAGGTACAGGGCTTTGGGTTCCATCCCCCAGTACTGAAAAAAATACTCAAAATAGAGTCATCAGTTGAAGGGTAGAGATGTTGCACAGATGTATCTTTCAGCTTTCACACTATTAAGACATGATGTTTACACATGTGAGTCTGATTTATTTCACTAATGAGCATGGTTTCAAGTTGCCTTCATTTACCTATAAAAGTCTCCAGTTTATTCTTATGGCCAAGTAGTGCTCATTGTATAAAAATATCACATCTTTTTTATCTGTTCCTCAGTTGGTAGGCATTTGGGTTGTTTCCGAGATCTGGGTATTACAAATTGTGCTGCTATACACATGGGTGCACATATATAGCTGTGGTATGATTTTTTTTTTTTTTGGTACCAGGGATCGAACTCACAACCTTGCACATACTAGGCAAGTGCCTGAACTGCTGAGCTAAATCCCCAACCCCAGTATGACTTTTTAATTGTTTGGGTGCCAAGAGTAGGAATAGCTGGGTTGAAAGAGACCTGTAGTCCTAGTTTTTTGAGGACTCTCCACCCTGATTTCCACAGTGGCTGCACCAGTCTTCACCCCACCCACAGTGGAGCCTTAAGGGTTCCTTTTTCCCCACAGCCCCTCCAGCATTTGTTCTTGATCTCTTTCTGGTAGTGATTCTTTCTGGGGTGAGGGGGAATCTCAGTGTTGTTTTAATTTGCATGTCTCAAAGGACCAGTGATGTTGAACATTCTTCACATATTTCTTTGCTGTTTGTGTTTCTTCATCTGAGAAGTGTGTATTCATCTCAGATGCCCACTTTTGGGTTAGGTCTTTACATCTGGGAGGACTGATTTGTTTGAGTTCTTTATATGTTCTCGATGGTAATCCTTTGTCTGAGGAACAGCTGGCAAACCTTTTCTCCCATGTTCTGAGTTGTCTCTTCACTCTGTTGGTGGTTTCTCTTGCTGTGCAAAACCTTTCTGGTAGGGTGAGATCCCAGTTGTCAATACCTGTGACATTTCCTGTGCAGTTGGGGTTTTGTTCACAGAGTCTTTGCCTACACCAATGTCTTCAGGAGGGTTACTACTCCATCTTCCGGGCGATTTAACATTTGGGTTCAATATGAGGATCTTTGATCCATTCTGAATTTAGCTTAGCGTGGCATGGATGTAGAGTACATGTTTAACGTGCACAAGATCCTGGATTCAATTCTCAGTACTACAAAGAAACAAATAAAAATAAATAAAGTTATTTTAGGTGGATGTGGTGCCAACTCATGCAATTTAGCAAGAGGCTGTTTCAGGGTGAAAAGGGCCTCTGCCATAACTCAAATAGGGAGCACTTGCCTAGCATGTGTGAGGCCCTGGCTTCAACTCCAACTCTGGAAAAAACAAACAGGCTGTTGAATGTTAGGGGAATTTTATTTTTTAAGTTTTTGTTTGCTCTTATTTCTTGATATTCTGCTTTGACATGAGATCTTGCAAGTTGTTCGGGCTGCGTCAAACTCCTGGAGCCAAGAGATGCTCCCGCCTCAGCCTTCTAAGCAGTGGGAATACAGGAGTATGCCACATGCCTGTCCATTAGCTGACTGTGATTTTAGTAAAGCAGCTTTTTGTTGTTTTTTTTTTTCCCTTTTTTCTTTTTATCGGTACCAGGGATCGAACTCACGACCGCCTGCTTGCAAATCAGGTACTTATGCCGCCGAGCTAAATCCCCAGCCCTTTATTTTGGTTTTTAAGACAGGGTCTCACTATGTAGTTCAGGCTAGCCTGGAACTCAAAGTGATCCTCCTGCCTCAGCCCCCCTGTGCTAGGATTACAGACTGTGCCACCACGCCCACCTCAAGTTTGATAAAAACATGATACCTGAAATATGTCAGGAATGCTGGGACACGCATTTGCGCACATCTACTTCCTATGTTTGCTTTCTTCCTCTTCTCTCCTCGGAGGTTCCTGCTGCCCCACTATACTGTATTTATCGTCTGCTCAAGGTGTGTTTGTGCATGCGCGCGCGTGCACGCGGTGGGGACTAAACCCAAGGCCTTCACATGAGCTAGATCCCTTCTCATTTTGAGTTTTAAATTTTAAGACAAGGTCCCACTAAATTACCTACTTGCCTCAGCTGGGATCAGATCCTCTCGCCTGAGATCCTTCAGCCTCAGCTTCCCAGAGTGCTAGAATTACAGGCATACGCCACCATGCACCATGTGCAGCTTGTGTGTGGTTTTGGCTTGATTTGGATTTTTGAGACAAGGCTGGCCTCGAACTTGCATTCATCCTCTTGTCTCCTCCCGAGTGCCAAGGTTATGGCCCTGCACCATGGCGCCTGGCTTTTTTTTTTTTTTTCCTTCAATAGCTTGACCCCATGCTTTGCTCCATGTGGAATCATGTTGTGCCTCTGCCATGAGTTGCTTTATCTCTTATCTCTCTACCAAGAGATTATTTTCCGAAATCGCTTGGGAAGCTCAAGTGCAGTTACTTCACCACTGCCGTTTCTTGGTGCGCATGCGCCTTATTCTCTGCTCCGCAGACAGACACTTGGGCATTTCCAGAGTGATTCCAAAGAAGCTGCAGTGCTCTGGATATTCCTACACGTGTTCGGGGCAGTGTTCCTGGTTTTGGCCAGGGGTGCAGGGTGATTGTGAGCTTGGGGAGGTGAAGAGGTCACAAGTGCTGGGGGACCCCAGAGAGGGCTGCCCTCTTCCTCCCCCCAGAGGAAGACCCTGCAGAGCTGGAGCTAGGAAGTTGCCTAAGAGCTAGAAGCCTACTCTCCGACCCGATCCGAAGCTGGTGCTGGATCTTGGCCTGGCCACCAGGCAGGCTTCCCGCTTCCAGTTGTCAAGAGAAAGCCCAATTTGTTCTTATCTTTTGTCTATGGTTCCACTAGGTTGTTGATCTTGGCAAATTGCGGATATTCTTAAGTTGTTAATTTTTTTGGTACTGGGGTTGAATTCATGACCTCCTGCTTGCCAGGCAGGTGCTTATGCTGCTGAGCTAAATCCTCGGCCCAAATTGTGGATATTCTTTATGTAGGATGGGTCTGAATCCTTATGATCTATAACATCTCCCAGGTTGAGGCCTTTTTACTCCCTTTTAATGGTGTTTTGAAAAGCAAAAATCGGTCCAGAATGTTGGTGCAGGCCTGTAACCCCAGGTTAGGGAGGATGAGGCAGAGGATGCCGCTAGTTTGAGGCCAGCCTGGACTATGTAGGGAAAGCACACACACACACACACAAAAAAAAAAAACAACTGCTGAAGGACGGAGGGGCGCGGTTTAAGAGCTGTGTGTGCCTTCCTACCTTTTTAGCCTGCACTGTGTATCTACTACTGTAAAGAAAAACACCAGTGAGATTGAAACTACACAGAGACCTCGGTCTCCATCATTCCTCCCTTTAAATCTTTTCACGGTGCCTGTGTTCTGAAGTGCTGCTGGTCCTGACTTTTACGTGCGCCCCATGACACCTGGGAGGTGCCTTTCCTGCTCCCCACGAAGTAGACTCTCAGTGAACACTGTGAAGGGAAGGAAGCAGCATGAAGAAGTGGGAAAGGGGGAGGGCAGCCCGCAGGGATGGCCTTCCTGTCTCAGCCTCCCACGCAGCTGGGACTAGAGGTGCACACCGCCTTGCCTAGCTGCCAGGACCCTGCTCTCCCTTCTGAGATATCTGCCAGAAGTGGAATTGCTGGACCACATGGTAATTCTATTTTAAATTGTTTCAGGAGTCACCATACTGTCCCCCAAAGTGGCTGCCACATTTTACCTTCCCAGAGGCAGTGAACAAAGGTTCCCATTTCCTCACACTCCTGCCAAGCCTTATTGCTTTCTGGTTGTTGTCTCCTAATGACTGGGAGGTGGCACTTTTCTCTCTCCAGTCCCACTCTTTTTGAGATGGGGTTGCACTGTTGCTCAGGCTGGCCTCGAACTCAAAGTGATTCTTCTGCCTCAGCCTCCTTTACTACTAGGATAACATGTACACCACCCAGCAGGTCTGGCTGCCCTGATGTGTCCTGAATCAAGTGCAAGAAAAAGCTCAAAGTATTTCCTCATTTCTAACCTTACAGACACCAGAAGCATCTTGGGTTAGGTGCTACCATTTTCATTTCCTAACCGGACTCAGATGTGGCTTTGTGAGAAGCCACAGGGCGGAATCCTCACCCCCAGCTTCTTCGCCAGTGCTGAGAGCTCTGGGTTGTGGTGTGCTTTCTCTCAGCTCCTGTCTGAAGGGGGTGCTTTCCCAGCTCCCCAGGATGGGTGCAAAACTGTGGGCCATGCTGCAGGTTGGCTGCTGCCTCCCTGCAGCCTCCCTCTCCCCACCTGCACTTTTTTTTGGTACTGGGGATTGAACTCAGGACTTTGCACTTGCAAGGGCACTTACAACACTGAGCTAAAACCCTCGCAGCCCCACCTGCACTCTTGACCTTCACCCAAGCCCACCTGGCTGTTGCTCAGCTCCTGTGCCCCTATGCACCACGTTGCTGCCTCGACTCCCCTTTCTGACCTGGGAAGGTCTTCTGGACAGCCACCTTGGTGGGCCCGGCGATCCTGCTTAGTCCTGCGTGCTAACATCTACATTTTAGTTCAACAGTGTGGCACAGTTATTTCGTGGCAATTGCAGTATCGAAGAGGGAAGAGTAATATTTTTTGTTGTGGTGTCAGTCGCATTCTTGCCTTGTGGTCCAGGACCCATGACCCCTCCGATCTCAGCTTCCTAAGTGCTGGGATTGCAGGTCTGTGCCCCTGTGCCGGCCGAGGCCACCGTGGGCCCCCGCAGCGCGCCTTTGCATGGGTAAGCAGGGAACTCTGGCTGCACCTTGGTTCCTGGCGGTTTTGGGTGCCCCAAACCTGGCTGGGAGAGTCTGGAGGTGAAAGGTGTATGCTCAATAGAGCAGGAAATGGCCCAGACAAGAAGCAAGGTAGTCAGGAGCAGCAGCAGCGGAAAGTCATCCACTACAAGGGTGACTGGTGCCAGAGCTGCAGAGACGCGTGCAAGTCCCATCCCTGTCGCTAGCCAACTCGGGTGCTCCGGTCACGTTAGCTGACTCAGGCCGCGGTGTTCACTCGGGCACCGCAGCAGTAACGGATGCAGTGTGCGCACCGGGTAGATGCTCAGCAGCAGGTGTAGTCAGCCCGGCTGGACTCCGTCCTGGGCACCCTGCACTGAGGGATTCCGTCCAGCATCTCCGGTCCAGATAAGCTTGGTCGCGTGTGGCACCCGAGAAAGTTCCAGCCCTCCGGTTCCAATCCAGTTAGAGTCCTCTGCCTCGTCCCCGGAGGCCTCAGAGGTCTCGCTTCGCTTCCCCGACCCTCTGCACCACCCTGTCTTTCCATCCTCATTTGGGCTGCGCTCAGTCGGCCAGGGTCTACGCCCTCAGCTCGCCACCTCTTCAAGGTCAAGCCGCGGCCGCTGCATTACCTCCCCCCCCCACCCCCGCCCCAGAATGCTGAGCCCAGTCCCCTGCAGCCCCGAGAGGCACGCTGGAAGGCTCGTAGACTGAATGCCCGGCGGCTGGGTCACAGCTGAAGACGCCGCAGCTCGGCTTCTTCCCGAAGCTCCGGTTTAGCATCGCCTGGGAGGCGCTTGCCCGCACAGCGCGGCCCTGGAGATGCAATCTCGGCTTTCGCCCTTGGCAGGCACTCCCTGTGATCCAGCCACCCAGATCTGTAATCTGTGCAGCCAAGCCGTCCTCGGGGATCAGCCCGCCGCCCAGGGCATTTCCCAACTCGGTCGCGGACGCGGGCACCGCCGCGGTGACCCGCCGCCTTGGGGCGGGGTATCCGACCCAGCCAGCCCTCCAAGGCCCTCAGGCCCGCCCCTCTGGCAAGACAGGGTCAGTCGCCCCTAGCAACAGCAGCCGGGCCGCGGCTAGGGCCACGGTGATTGGCGGAGCCCCGGGAGCGGCGGCACCGTCACTTCCGGCAGCCGGAGGCGGCGGAGGAAGCTGAGGGACGGCCATCTTGGGTCCGTGAGCCTCTGAGGTGCCGGGCAGTGGCGGCAGCTGCGGCGCTGGGCAGGGCGGAGGCAAGGCGGAGAGCGGGCCAGAGAGGGGAAAGCAGCCAGGGGCAGGCGTCTCCTCCGCGGCCCCCTCCATGGTCGGCGCCCGCAGCCCGCGGCCGCCTGTCTCGTCCTCTACCTCCTCCTCCACGTCCCGCGCCTCCTGCTCTCCGGCGGCAGCCGGCGGCGCCGTGTGGAGGCCGCGGGGCTGAGGTCTGCGCGCTGCGGGCTGCGGCGGAGGCGGCCGAGGGGAGGCTCGGCCCGCGGGGCGTCCTGAGGCGCGGGGACGCCGGCTGCCCCCGCCCCGCCCCCGCCGGCCTCTCGGCCCGGGCCGCCGGGGCAGGGGGAGAATGAGCCCCGGGGCCCACGGGGGCGCGGCCCGGGCCAGGCCGGGGATCTAGAGCGAGGCCCGCTGCCCGCCGGGCGCCCAGGGCCGGGCGCTTCCCTTTTCGCCCTCGCGACCTGCAGCATCGAAGCGCACTAAGATGTCCACGAGGACCCCCTTGCCCACGGTGAATGAACGAGACACCGAAAACGTGAGTGGCCAGGCTGCGGGTGGCCTCGCGCCCTGCGGGGGACACCGCCGTCGCCGCGTCGTCAGGTCGGGCGCGAGGTCGTCGGGGCGGGGCGGGGCGGGTGGCCGCGGCGGGCAGCGCTCCTCGGAGTCCGGGCGCCCCGCACGCTGCTTCGTGCCCCGGCGTGCTCGGGAACCTAAGTTTAAGTGACAGTCGCGCCACTCGGGCTCTCGGTGGTTGTCTGCGCCGCCGAAGCGGAGGCGGTGGCGGCGGGGCGCTGGCCGCGTGGGTCTGGGGCCGCCGGCAGCGGTGCACGCAGCTGTGTCCCCGCCGAGCCAGGGGGCTCCGCTCCCGCCCTGGCCAGGTTGGCCCTGGAGCTCTCAACCTGCAAGGGTATGAAAGGAATCTTGGTGCTTTTCGTGTGGATCTTTAAAAAATGCCTGGAACGGCCTTGTTAGGCAGTGACAGCTTGTAGTAGATTCCATCAAGGAGATGCTGGGCTCTGGTCTCCTGTCCAGCCAGCTCCGCTTCAGCACTAGGTTGAAACGTGCTCCAGTCTAATTGTAAGTCGTGTGAAACATCTGGCAGATAAGCTGTAAAGAAACTTCGCTGGCCTTTCGTTATATGCATTATGAGGTAATTGCTGGCAGGAAAATGCCATCTCTTAGAGAAAGCTTTCGTGCTCTGAGCATTTTCCTGCTTTCCTTGGTGGCCTAATGGTATCAAATGCCTTGGTTTTGATCTTCAAAATGCCACTTGCTTGCTGGATAGCTATCAGGTAATTTAAGCTGTGTAAACCTTATTCTAAGCATTCATTTGGTACATTAATGTATAGTATTAAATGCTCTCTAACCTGGTAAACAGTACAATGGTTAGAAAATTATTTAGAGTGAGTGACAAAATCTTACAGTCGGTAAGTCTGTGGATGTCTCTCATTCTTTTGAGCCAGCCTGGGTGTTGCTTTGGCTGTCGAACTCCTGGGCTCCATTGATCCTCCCTCCTAGTTGGGAGCAGGCATGTGCCACTGGCCTTCATGCAGCCTTTTTGTAATGGTCCTTTTGAAGAAACCCTATTTCTGACCTGATCTTTGGCCAGTTCTTTTACTACCTTGAAGAATGGAACAAGCAAACAAGTGTTTCGATTGGCTTTGATCATTAATCTTTACTCAGAATTAAAATCTTATATTGAATCAGAGCAAGTATACTTGTTCAGCTGAAGCCACAGTCTTAGCAGATTTGAGGTTTTTTTTGGTTTTTGTATTTTTTTGTTTTTGTTTTTGAGACAGGTTCTCAGTATGTGATTCAGGCTGGTCCTGAACTCACTAGTAGGCCAGGTTGGTCTTGAACTCACATCAGTCTTCCTTCCTTGACCTCCCCATTTTTTTGTTTTTGAAACAGTTCACTATATAGTTGAGACTGGCCTCAAGCTATGTAGTCTTGGCTAGTCTTGAACTGTAAGGTGATGCTCCTGCCTCAGCCTCCCTGTGCTGGGATTACAGGTGTTCACCACCATGCTGGGCTAACAGATTTGTCAAAATATAAGATTGCAGTTGGGTCTTCTTTCAGTAATGAAAGACATTAGGAGAACAAATGTGTTATTTTCAGTCAGAAATACACGAGTAGGTGGTATTTATGAATATCATTAACTGACTGTTTCATTCTTCAGTTGTTAATTTGGTTGATTTGTTGAATACTTTTGTAATTTTCATTTTGTATGTTGCTAGGATTATTACCTTCTTTAAAAGCAACCTAGAAGCAGGAATTCTAGCAAATTCTTGTAATGGCACATTCTTGTAATGCCAGTGCTCTGGGAGGCTGAGCAGAAGGATTGCAAATTCAAGCCCAAACTGCAATTTAGAGAGACATTGGCTCAAAATTTTAAATAAACAAGGGGGCAGGTAGGATGTAGCTCAGTGCAAAAGTCCTGAGTTCAACTCCCAGTACTGCCAGAAGGAGCCACCCCAAACAAAACAAAACCCTGATACATGGGGTATGCTTTTTCTTAATTTTCATAGAATGTATTTAAAAGGAAGTTTTGAGGAGAGTTAAAGTCAGATTTGTGGCACATCATTGCATTTGCTCTGTTTTACCTATATAATGCTTGTGTTGGCATGTCTGGAAGTAGCTGTGTGTCAGTACAGTGTGACGCCAGTGTTAGTGTTGCATTTCGAGTTCACATTTGGCATAGTCCTTAGTATCCATCTCTGTACAACTAACATTACATTTCCTGCCAGTCGAGTGGTGAGTGCATGAGAATGAACAGGAGCACTCAGTCTGCTGAGAAGCTCTTTTGTTGGAGTCAGGTTTATCAAGATTTAACATTCATGCTTTTTAAGTGTACTGTCTGATGAGTCTGAAGTTCGTAGACCTGTAACCACCACCACAATCAAGATAGAACATTTCTATTGCCCAGACAGGTCCCTTGCTGCTACTCCAGCAATCACTGATCTGTTTTCTATGCCTGTAGCTCTACCTTTTTTAGTGGAGTCATAGAGTTTATAATCTTTAGGTCTTATTTCTTTCTCTCAGTATAATGCTTTTGCCATTTGTGTTTTCATGTGTAGTTCATTCCTTTTTATTGCTCAGTAATATTTCTTTCTTTTTTGTTTGTCTTTTTCGTTTTTATCGGTACCAGGCATTGAACTCATGACTGCCTGCTTGCAAGGCAGGCGTTTATGCCACTGAGCTAAATCCCCAGCCCCTTAGTAATATTTCATTGTTTTCAGGGTTTTTTTGTTTTTCTTCTAAATATCAGATATCCAGTTATTCTGATTTTTCCTTTGTTGTCTCCTTTCTTTTTAATCTCTGTTTAGATTAGACTTCAACTTGAACCTATATGTTAGAGTTGGCTAATATGTAAAATAGGATGTTTTTAAAGATAGCAGAAAAGTTTTGTATTTTAGTTTATATTCTATAGCTATTTTTTATAATTTAAAAATTAATGCTTGGCTATCTGCAGCTATTCTGTATAGAAAGCCATGGACAAATCCTTTTCAATATTGCAAAATTAGAAATTTATTTATTTTATTTTTTGCCAGGCATGGTGACACATGCCTATAATCTCAGCTCTTGGAAGGCTGAGGCAGGAGCATCTCTGTGACAAGTTCAAGGCCAATCTGAGCTACATAGTGAGACCCTCTCACAAAAAAAAAAAAAAAAAAAAAAAGAAATATGTTTTTCACTTAAATTTCAATTTCAAAGCATGTAACACTTTGTAAGCCTGGGTTATTTGTTGAAGGACCAGGAGCCCTACAGCTTTGCCAGCTATTTCTTCAACAGCTTAGGGTATGTGTGCTTCATATTCTCATTAGTTCATGCAAGCGTGGTCAGTTTTTCTTACATCTGTGCAATAGGTAAACTGATGATGATATTGTGTAGCCAGCTGTTGGGTAGGTGAGAGTGAGTCCACCTGAGGAATGAGTAGGAGAACTGCTTTTGTCTGTGGCATGGGTCAGGTGCTCTAGAGGACCACTGATCTCTGGGTCTTCCCCCAGCCCTCTCCTCAGTCTGACAGTTGGAGCCCCAGACTTTTTTTTTTTTAAGGCAGAATGTGGCTATGTAGTTCAGGGTGCCCTTGAACTCACTGGGTAGCCTAGGCTGGCCTTAAACTCACAACTGCCCTCCTGTCTCAGCGCCTCTAGTTGCTGGGATCACAGGTGTGCAGCACCCTGCCAGCCCAGACTTTCCGTCTCTAACTTCTCAGGTGCTGTGGGTGTGGCAGGTTGGGACCACAGTTGAAGGGTACTGAATCTTTGCCATGTGTTCAGTGAAGGCTCCTTAACTAGGCTAGAGTAGATTGTTGTCTCACTGCCGAAGAGAGATTTCCAATATATTTATTGGAGATTTCAGGTTCCGTGAGTTTTTCAAAACTTTATTTTTTAAAAAAGGCTGTGGAGCCTTGTTTGTGGTTGCGGAAAATCAGTGTACAGTATTTACTGTGTGTAGATTGTATACAATGGTACCATAGTTAGTACTTTGTATCTCATTGAAAATGAGTATTATAATGTCATCTAATCTGCTTGTTAACTTCTAAGCAAAACTACTTATTGATTCAAGCTGTTTGGGCCTTGATGTAAAAGACTGACCTCTGAAGAATTCATTTAAAAAAAAAAAAACAATATTTTAGATTGTGTCAGAATATTCAGAGAAGCCTTTATAGACTTCAATTTGAAGTTTGTTTTCATCTGCATGTAAGTTTAAGGTAAAAATTCACAATGAGTGAACTATTAGTCTTGACTATAGCTCAAGCTGTACTTTTTTTTTTTTTTTTTTTTTTGTCTTTTTCCTTTTTATCGGTACCAGGGATTGAACTCACGACTGCCTGCTTGCAAGGCAGGTGCTTATGCCACTGAGCTAAATCCCCAGCCCCTCAAGCTGTACATTGTAACTACTTGTGAGATTTATAGAGCACACAATTTACATTGTAATTAGAGATTTATATCCAGTCTCCTGCAAATTAGTAGTACCTCATATCTTTATTTCAAAGAATATTGTTCCGAAGCTTGTCGTTCTGAGGTGTAGAATTTATTCCCTGCAAATTTTATCCTTGGAATTTGTTTCCAGGATGGAAATAAGAGTTTGAGGAATGTAGACTCCTGATCTTTACAAGCAGAAGTAAGGCAGATCTTACTTATCTCATATGCATTGTACAATTTCATATTAAACCTGAGGGAGAGGCCAGGTGTGACCCTAGACACTTGGAAGGCATAGGATCCCAGGACAACTCAAGGAACCTGCCTTAAATGTAAAATGTAAAAAGGGCTGGCTTTCTTAGGGACTAGGTACAGATGGGCAAGTGGAACCCTCATGTCAGTTGCCTGGGATGGGTTTGTTGGCAAAACCCTGTGACCTCCAAAGACCCTTTGAGAAATCCCACCTTGATTAAAAACTGAAACTGATGGGCAGATTTACTCTGGTCAAGATCAGAAAGGTGTGCTAGGCAGGGTGGTGCACATGCCTGTAATCCCAGCACTGAGGAAGTTGAGGCAGGAGGATCATTGCAATTTCGAGACCATCCTGGGC